GTTTCCGCTTACCATTCCTTTTTCCTCTGTCTTGCTCTGTCCTTGGGGAAATGCCACCCTTTTCATCTTAAACGGTGGTTCCTCTAACTCATGGGTGAGTTCAATCTCGACCTGAAGCGTGAGGAAGGGCTATGTTCTCAGGGGTCCCAGCTGTCTCTCCCTGCCCGTAAGCCTGTTTCCCTTATGATTTTGAGTTTGGTTTCAGATGTTTTCTCCCACTCCTTCTGGGACCTTTTGAATGAGACCCTTTTCAGAGTGGTTGATAGCGTAGCTGAGCCTCCCCCACTTCTTCTGTTCTCAGGGTTGTGGAGACTGATCTTTGCATGGTCGGTTACCAACAACTCTTTCTTGAAATACCCCGTTGGCATGTCATGACCCCACAGGGTTTTTAACTGACCTTTCTGAGAGGTTTCCATTTCTGGAGATGAAGGAAAGCACTCCCAAGCTTAGTTGCTTGGATCTTGAAGACTCTAGTTTAAACTCTCTTTTTGTTGATGAAATCAACTTTGCAGACTGCTGATTTCTATCCTGGAACACATAACCAATCCCCTTGCTTGATTTTATCACTGCGCTCTCTGACCTTCCCCCTCAAGCCCCTTATTTGTTGCTGAGCAGCACCAGAAATCATCCAAACTCAATTCACCTTCCCCTGACATTTCCATGCCTCAAACTCCTCACGCTCCTCTTTTCTGTGCCCAGAATTCCCCTCCCATCACAGCCCTGGATTCACCAGTTCAACCTTAGGGTCTTTGGTATTTATCGGTCCTTCTCCACGCCTCATTCCTCCCAGGTTTGTCAGGCCTGGCTTCTCACCCGATCCTCAGGCCTGCCACTGAACACATGGCCAGCCCCAAATTAGAAAAGGCCACACATTCCTGTCTTGCTCACAGCCCTTCTTCTAACTTGGGAGTTGCTTTCCAATCTTCTCCATCCCCTTGGCCCTCACCGGGACCTGGAGCCCAGCCTGTGCTCGCCACCCTGCAGCTACACATCATGTTCCATTTGTGCCTCTGAGCTCTGGTTTCTGTCCGTGGGCCTGGCTCCCATGTGGGTCTTGATTATTTGAGTTACCTTCCCGGTTGTTGCTGTTGTTGACTTCTGTCTGGTGAAACCCAGAAAATAGCTAAATATATTCCCAAACCTTAGAGTCGACCTTCATACCTCAATGCTGTGTCCTCGGCTGCACTGACATAGACTATTCATAATCTAAATTGTTACTTTCCCAGATGCCTCCATACGCTAAGCTGGTGATACACGTCTCGTGCAACCATCCCTGCCTTCTACCTCCGCCTGGTGTTGACTCGCCTGCCCTAGTCCTCTCTAGAAATCTGCACAATCACTCAAACATTCTGAAACCTATGAAATTGCATCGTCTCCGGGATGGTGGTCCTTGACTTCCTAACTAGATATATGATCTAAAAACCCCTAGGAAGCTTACTTTTCTTGAAAATTATTTATTAGTTAGTAGTTATTTAGGAACGAAGGAGCGTCAGAATGTTTGAGGAGGGAGCAAGTTAGAGACCACTATTTTCTTCTTCTTTGTAGGTGAGCTACATGAAGCTTGTAGAAAGAGAGTGGCTCTCTCAAAGGAACATCAAGTCACTGTCCACATCCAGTTGACCAGGAGGCCAGGATTGAACCCAGAGCTGTGGTCTTTTGAAGTTAAACAACATTCTTTGGGCAAAAGAGTAGCTAACTACTGAGCTCTGGAATCAAATGGCCTCCTCTTGTCCATTTGCTACATTGGGCACGTTTCTTGACCTCTCGGGAATTTCGTTTTCTCTCCTATAAAATGGGTAGATTACTGCTGCCCTCAGAAGGCTACTATTGGGCTTGTTGTTGTTAGGTTCTATAGCATCAGTTTTGACTCATAGGGAGGCTGTGTACAACAGAATGAAACCCTGTCCTGTCTTGCATGATCCTCGCAGTTGTTGTTTAAGCCTTTTGTTGTAGCTACTGAATCAATTACTCTCCTGAGGGTCCAGCTCTTTTCCCCCCACCGCCCTTAACTTTACCACACATGATGTCTTTGGCAAGAACTGGTCTCTCCATTAACCTTAAATGAGGCAAATTATGTAAAACCTATTTAAAGTGTCTGGCAGAGTGAAAGTACTCAATACATATTAATGACCAAAATAATTATTAATCTTCTTGAGGCTCCACTCCCCTCTGCAGCCCCTGTATATTCGCATATTGGGCTTTCCCAATGTAGGTGAGCAACTATTTGCAGCTGCATTGAACAAATGTAGTTGGTAGGGAACATTTGAGATAAAAGCTCTGTGGCGTCCCTGACTCTCACTATCATTTTGTCTCTGTGCTGTCTCTCTGGACAACTATGCCCATTTTTATGATTATACATAGCCCTGCATTCTAACAGCATGCAGGGTGACACTCCCCAAACCCCCACCCCCCTGCACAGACCACCCTTCATGAATCTCATTGCATAGGTAATGACTTTCTTCTGGAGATTCCAGCCACCCCTTAAACTACACATGACAAAAACAAATGAGCTCACCATCTACCTCATGAAATATCTTCGCTATTTTGGTTTGTTTACTCCTAAGTGGCTTAAATCAACTTGATGAGGCTGTATAATATAAAAGTTAAGATGTCTGCATTCTGGGCTCAAATCTCAGCCCCTTTCTATGTGAACTTTGAGACCTGGTGGGTTAGTACAATTAGGCCTTGGTCTGCTGACAGCAGTTGGAAATCACCCGCTGTTCCTTGGGAGACTGATGGAGCTTTCTACTCTGGTCAACAGTTCCAGTCTGGGAAACCCAGAGGGGAAGTCCACCCCTTTTTTACAGGGTTGCTATGAGTCGGCAAGGAGTCAATGTCAGTGAATTTTGGAGTTGTTGAACCTTGGGAACAAAAACCTTTCCCTGCTTCCGTTTTCTCATCTCTCTCATATCATCTTCCACTGCTTCTGTCCCCAACCCCAGTTGCTTCTATTGCACATTATTTCTTGTGTCTAATGCTTGCCATGACTGATACCAGCTTGGATGGGCATCTCATGCCTCTCCACCTGGACTTGCTCCTGGTTTTTGTTTAGAAAGTCTTGTGCCACCAATCCACCCACAACTTTGGTCTAGATTTGCCTTTTTAAACTATCAAAGTAGCTCTGACCATGACTTCAATACCCTTTCCTTCTTCCTTGTACCTGTAGATTGAAATGTCAACCTCATGGCCCATGTCTTCCATGATATACTAGTTTCATATTCCATTTCCCCTCCCCCAACTCCTTCCTCTACCGAAATGGCTACTTCAGACTTCCTGTCCTCGTCATAAGACCTTGTGCCTCACGCAGTCCCTTGTCATGCACAATCACCTTTGCCAACCATGTCCCCAACCCTGCCTTCACTGGACACCCCTGCAGTCATGAAGCCTCCAAGTTCTCAGAGCCCATCGGAATCTCCGTACAATTCCATTAGTCATCCGCTATGGCAGCGGTTCTCAAGCCGTGGGTCAAGACCCCTTTGGACGTCAAACAACCCTTTCACAGGGGTCACCTAAGAGCACCGGAAAACACGTATTTCCGGTGGTCTTAGGAACCGAGACACCGCTCCTCTCATCCCTTCAGGCGGTCCGCCCGCACGCAGATTCGCCCACCTACAAGTACCGGGGTGAAGACTGTTACTCATGCTACCCCACGCTTCAAGACAGCATTTCATTGATTTGTAATCAGAAATAAATATTTCACAATATAGAATTACCTATTGTTTTGTAATCAATCATGAAGCTCTCATTTCGTTCAATTTGTAACAATGAAAATACACCCTGCATATCAGATATTTACATGACAATTCAGAACAGTAGCAAAATGACAGTGATGAAGGAGCGACGAAAATCGTTTTGTGGTTGGGGGTCACGACCACACGAGGAACAGCATTAACGGCATAGGAAATGTTGAGAATCACTGCTCCATGTTGTTTTGAATGTGTTAGTCACGCCGGGGTTGCTGCATGCGTCTTACTGGCCTGTGTATGACAGCACATTTGTCCCTGCTGACAAACGGGCATTTTTTTAGGGCAGACGACGTTTTTCTTGAATGCAGAGCACATCGCCCAGAATACAGAAGGTACTCAAAGTAGGGGAACTGCATAAAATACCTTTGGGGGCCCATTTAAATGATGCTCGCAAAGTTAAATTTATGGGCTAAAATGATCTTATTTTAGAGTGCTTTAAAACCTCCGTAGGCTTCCTTGTGGGGGGTCACTCTGAGAAGGAAGGAACTTCACACACCCACCGACAGCAGCACTAACAATGGTGTGGGGGGATTGGGGCTGGGGAAGCCCCGAGGGTGCATTGGTTACACTCTGGGTGGCTAGCCATAAGGTCAGCAGTTGGAAACCCCCAGCAACTCCGCAGGAGACTGCAGCTTTCTGCTCCCATAAAGAGAGACCGTCTCAGAAACCCAGGGAGGCAGATCTGCTCGTCCTAGAGGGTCCCTGTGAGTCAGAATGAGCTCCATGGGAATGAGTTCAACTTTGGAGGCTATTTATTTATTTAAATGACTTTACTGGGGGCTCGTACAACTCTTATCACCACCCGTACATGCATCCATTGTGTCAAACACGCTGGTACATTTGTTGCCATCATCATTCTCAAAACATTTGCTTTCTACTTGAGCCCTTGGTATCAGCTCCTCATTTTTCCCCTGCCTCCCCACCCTTTCTCCCTCATGAACCCTTGATAATTTATAAATTATTATTATTTTGTCATGCCTTACATTGTCCAACGTCTCCCTTCACCCACTTTTCTGTTGTCCATCCCCCAGGGATGGGTTATATGTAGATCCTTGTCATCGGTTCCCTATTTCTACCCCACCTTCCCTTTACCCTCCTGGTATCACCACTCACACCACTGGTGGTCCTGAAGGGGTCATCTTTCCTAGATTCCCTGTGTTTCCAGTTCCTATCTGTACCAGTGTACATCCTCTAGTCTAGCCGGATTTGTAAGGTAGAATTGGGATCATGATAGTGTGTGTGTGTGTGGGGGAGCATTTAGGAACTAGAGGTAAGTTGTACGTTTCATGGTTGCTGCACTGCGTTCTGACTGGCTCATCTCTCCCCCGCGACCCATCTGTAAGGGGATGTCCAGTTGACTACAGATGGGCTTTGGGTACCCCCTCTTCTCTTACATAAACTTTAAAATTTTGAACCCTGCTTATGGTCAAACATAAAATTTCTACACTTTACAGCAGCTAAGTTTAGTAAAAAAAGATGGGATTCCAACCTACCTCTATTGCTTATGAGCTTTGAGACCATAGCAAGTTTCCTAATCTTTCTGAGCCCCAGTTACCTCATCTAAAATTTAGAGTTCACTGTAGTCTCTGCTTAACGTAGAGGGGTCCCATAAGTACCTCGCCTAATGGATGTTTGCTATTATAATTTTGTCACTCTTCTGTATACCTACCTGATAGAGATTGGTTAATATAACCATATTCTTCACAGTATTCATGTGTACTATAAGAACCAATCTCTGAAGGACTCCTAACTCATTACAAAACATTAAGATTTTTGTTAAATTCTGGTATTTTCACAGTGATCCCTGGGTGGGGAGGAGCCCTGGTGGCACAGTGGTTAAGCACTCAGCTACTAACCGAAAGGTTGGTGGTTTGATCCCCTCCAATGGCTCTCTGTTAGGAAAAGCTCTGACAGCCCACTCCTGTGAGATTGTAGCCATGACCGTTCTTGAGGCAGATCGCCTTGTCACGCGGGACCCTGTGAGCTGGACGTAACTTGAAGGCGCCCACCAACAGCAATGGCAACAACTGGATGGGTGTGTTACGGGGTCTTGCCCCTTCCTTGGAAGAGTGAAATGTTTCTTAGCTCCAGCCACAAGAAGGATCTGGGACTTCTTGGACACTCTTCAGGGTCTTAGAATTGGATTTATCCAAGTTTAGGCAGTGTTCCTGTCCAGAGACACCATAGGCCCTTGCCCCATTAATGCCCGGACTGAGATGTAAGCCCCGTCTAAGAAAATTACCAATTTTTAAATGTAACTATCGATATATAAGAGACACACACACTCACATGTACAAGGGTGATAAAAGTAACACAAACATAAATATTATTTCATGAAGTATAGGTAATAAGAAGGATCTCCTTCATTCTGCCCTGAAATCATAGCAATGGGGACTCTACATTCATGTTTCTTTCAAGGCATTACGTGCTAAACATAAAAGCAGCAAATAATACTTTTTCCTGAGCTGTCTTAAGCAGCCCTGGAGCTGCTGTCAGGAAAGGGGTGGACTGCTGAGCATGAGGCTGGTGTTTCGTGCAGCTCTGCAGGGGAAAATGAAGCTGCCTGCTCCCATACAACATCCACAGCCTCGATGTGGCCCTGTTATCAAAAGATAGAGCACCTGGGGTCTTAAAGGCTTGAACTTAAATAAGCGGCCATCTAGCAGAGCAGCAACAAGCACACATGGAAGAAGCACACCAGCCTGTGTGATCATGAAGTATTGACTGAATCAGTTAACGGGCACCAGAAGACCCCGAACAAATAAACAAACAAAAGCACATATTATTGAGAACGAGGGGGGTGGGAGCAGAGACCCCAAACCCAACTGTAAACAATAGGATATCCCCTCACTGAAGGGTCACAAGGAAGGGATGAGTCAACCAGGGTGCTGTATAACACTGATGAAACACACCATATTTCTCTGGTTCTTTGAGGCTTACACACACACACACACACACACACACACCAACCCCCTTATCCTGACCTCAGTCCTGCCTTTCACTGTGGCCAGACTGGAGCATGTGCACTGGTACATACAAGGGCTCACGACACACAAAATCCAGGTTAGATATAACCCTCAGGAGCAGAAATGGGAGTAGCGATACCAGGAGGTATACCAGGGGAAGGGGGAACTGCTTGAAATGATAGATACGTATTTCCCCCACAGGGGAATGAACAACAGCAACGGGGTGAAGGGAGACAGTGGTGGGTATAAGGTAGGAAAACAATAATAATTTATAATTTATCCAGGGGTCATGAGGATGGGAGTGGGAGAGGGAAGGGAAAACGAGGAGCTGATACCAAGGGCTCAAATAGAAAGTGAGTTTTTAGAAAATGATGATGGCAGCATATGCACAAATATGCTGGATACAAGTGATGTATGGAATGTTGTAAGAGTCCCCAGTAAGACGATTTAAAAATAATTTCAAAAATAGAAAGAAAAGATGTACAGCCTTGGAAATCCTCTGTAGGTCGCTGTGAGACAGAATTGGCCCAGTGGCAGTGGGTTTGGTTTGCTTTCAGCCGCGTTAGGCAGAGAGACAAGTGAATCAAATGCAACACTTCATTTGATTGAGCACCAACTTGAATTTCTGGGAAGAAAATGACTAACATCACGATTCTGAAACAATGTGTCAATGAACCCACAGGGACTTTTTCAAAAGAAATGTCGATATTTGTCATACTCCTATGAAGGGTATTGATTTATTTGGACTTAATGACTTAATAAAGAACACTGTAATGGATTTATTTTGATCTAGGAAAACTGTAAAAAACAAACAAACTAATCTTTGAGATCCTACCAGTTCTAAGAATGAGAACGTTTGGAAGCCCCTGGACGACTCATGGTCTAGGGGCACTATTGGATTCAGAACATAAATGGTATGGAATTGCTGGTTGGCAGCTGGAGGTCCAGCAAGAAGACAAGGGCATCCCTCCCAGCCTCCCGCCACTCCAGCAGCCCCTGTCCTGCTGACAGACTCTCCAGGCAATCCCAGCCTCCCCAGCCACTGCTGTCCCTAGGGGTGGTCCACAGGGAAGGTTCTCTGGGCTCCTCTTTGTCAACAGCAACCTCTCTTTCTTCCTATCAATAGTTTCTACTCTTTAACAAACCCATTCTACTCACGACTGAGATTTTCTTTTTTAAATGTGTTTTTATATTTCAACAAGATTTGAAGACAGCGACTTTAAAACCATGCTGATGGGCTCTAAATACATGTGCAGAGTTGTAATGTATATTCAGGAGGCTTTCTGTAGATGCTGTCGGCATATGAACAGCTATGTGAATTTCATGGATTCGCCAGGCTACCTGATAACTGTTTGATGCCCATGAGTTTCCCTGAGATGATCAGAGGTGTGTTAAATGTTTATGATGAAATATGCATATGGGTGAAGCATGGCTCCTACTAAGAGAATTTTAAACAAATTCAAACTTGTTCTGGGTTGATACATTTTAATGAGATCTTGATGAAACTAAAAAATGTAGGTAAGCAGGCTATATTAAATTCATTAGGCTGCAAGGAATTTGTCAGTTTACAGCGTCGTTCTGTCTTTACAGTGTCATTCTGCCTTATAATTTTTTCTTTCTCAAGATAGTATCAAGAACGTCTGTTTCTTTTTTCCTCTAAGCCGTTTGTTTCTTTTCAAATGGAATTGGAAACTCACATGTGATAAACCCTCTGAGACGGAAGCCATTAGATGCATTGACATTATATATTTTAAACTGCTTTGCCTTTTCTTCTTCTTCTTTTTTTTATTATCAAGTCTGAGTCTGTGGCCTTTGGGGGTGAAAGGAATGTTTTTGGTTTTATTTCCCCTTTAGTTTCCTTTGGATAATTTTTCTAGGAAGTCATTCGCACAAAAAGAGGATGAGCGCATACCCCAAAATTGGATTTATTTCTCTAACAACAAAGCATATCAATGTGAGAAACTTGTAGGATGAACTGTATTTTGTCAAACTTTGGGCTTTTGGAGATGTGTTCAAAGTGGTATAACTAAGCATCTTGACTTGTCCAGAATGGAACGTTAGAAGAAAAATAATGGTAAAAGATGAATGGGGTTTTTCGTATATATAAGAATCCTTTTATTGGGTTCCATCAGATTGGTTCTAACTCATATAAGGACCCTAAAACCAAATTCACTGACATCGAATCAGTTCTGACTCATAGCAACTCTATAGGGCAGGGTAGACTTGCCCCTGTGAAGTTGTGAGATTGAAACTCTTTAGGGGAGTAGAAAGCCCTGTCTTTCTCCCTAAAAGGACCCTGGAAAGGCGGGGGGGGCGTTCAACTCTTAAATTCATTCAAGAAACCTAGGGGTACTTATGATCCCAAATAACAGATTAACCAAACAAATTATTAAGAGCAGCACATGGATTTGGGTGTGCAGAATGGGCCTGACCAATCACATGTTAGAAATATAACCGCCTTTAGTGTCTGAATTCCTTTCCTGGGGATGCAGTGGACACTTGAGAACCGATGTGAAAATACTCCGCTATCTCCAGACTTATATGTTGAATGGTGTCCCCCATACAACATGTTTTGGAATCCTAACCACTATGTATATCTGAGGATGTAATCCTGTTTGAAAACAGGCTTTTCTTTGCTGTGTTAATTAGATCATACTCACCCAGGGTGGATTCTAAATCTAATCACTTCTGAATTATGAAAAGACCAGAATAGGTGCTGACACAGGCACATAAGGGAAGACAGATGCCAAGTGAGAATTGCCAAGGACCCAAGAAATTCCCACGACCACAAAATGACTGTGTTAGGCCGAGTTGACTAGAGAGACAAAACCAGTGACACTCATATATATGTGTAAGAGAGAGTTTTATATTAAGAAGTAATTATATATCAAGCAAACATCTCAGCCCAGTCCAAATCAAGTCTATAAGTCTGATACCAGTCCATAAGTCCCTCTTCAGACTCACACAGCCACTTGCAATGATGCAAAATGCAGACTGGTGGTGCAAAGTCTTGTGGATCCAATGGCAGTGGATACATCTCCAGGGTCCTGGAAGGCTTGCCAACAGGAATGTGAAGGAGAGAGAGAGAGAGAGAGAGAGATCCCAGGATCATCTTTGTGAGAAGGTTATGCCCACCAGGAGGTACCATTAGGTTGTTACCTGATTGACAAGCTAAAACCCACCCCTCACTTCT